AGAATAACTGAGGCAGTATGAAGGTCGTAGTTGGCAGTATGGCTAACAAAAGTGTGATGACCAAAATATAAAAAAAGATGTCACTCAAAGCTTAATCAAATGCTGGCAGTATGTTTAAGGAAGAAATTAAGACGAGTAAGCGTAACATCATCAGTACTGATCTTTAAAGGGCAATCATCCAGTTACGTTCGATTTAATTAAAATTGCTTAAATAATTGTACTGAGTATTTTTGTCAAATTATAAATTATATGGCTGTCATCTGAAAAATCATCAGTTTTTCGATGTCGTTACAACTTGACTGTGAATTTCTAGTCTCTGATGCCAAATGTAGCAGGTTTAAGTCCTTAATTGGTATTAAACCAATTTGAACAGTATTTTTGTTGGTTTTGGAAAGCATTGTGAGAAAGATGGCAATCAAAAGGCCTTACATCATCGCGATGTGGTATTTGAGTATGTGGCCACTGATGCTACCTGCCTTCACTCTGGACAGTAAAAATCTCCATATTCCTTACACACTGGTCTGGCTGAAGCATGTAACACCCCTGCCACCACCTCTTCTCCTCTGAGCTTCTACCCTCTGGTCACATTTGCCCACATTTTCAGTCTCTCATGCAATAAAATTGTGCAAACGTGTTTGGTGGAAAGGAAGGTCAACATTTTTGTGGTGTTCTATTGCTTCCTGCATCTTCTGAACTGTCTGTCCAAACAGCTAAAAAAAGTCCCTGTAATGGACTCCAGAACTGCCATTCTCGCCAGGCGTTATAAAGGGAGCTTGGATTAACCACGTTTAATGGAGGTGCTGGTGGTGTACCTGTATGAAGCTCTAGTGGAGAGCCCAGCTCAGCCTGGAATACTTTCCCGTAGGCGCTGGCAGGTTGCTATGAGGTCCCCCTGAAGCTTTCTCTTCTCTGGGTTGAAAAAGCCCAGTTCCCTCAGCTTCCAGATGTTCTGTAGTAAAAATTATTTTAATAAAAACTTTCAGATTTTTCTTTTTCTTAGGTTTTGTGCAGAGTGCGAAGCCACTTGGGGAAGTTTCAACCTTTTTTCTCATAACTGTCGAGGGGGGTAAAACTTATTCAGCGTTTTTGAAATATTTTGATAGGCTTTTTATTTTGTCTGTACATGCTTCTATCCCAGACCTTCACTGAGGTCTGGCTTGTGCTCCTCCATAAATTAAAGTGTAAAATAATGGGATATGAGATAACAGCAAATATTTTGCTTTCATGTTGCACAGTCTGGTTTTTTTTTTTTTTTCCTTTAACATTAATGTACTTGGAGTATGCTGTAGAGACTGTCATAGTAACCATGCTAAAATGTGACAGGAACGCAGAAATAAAGATACCTGTCATCATAAAGATGGCAGGTCAGCTTTGTAGCTGGTATAAATTTTTACTGCCATTGGAGTGCCATGAATTTTCCATCTGAGGGCCATACACTGTTCAGAAGTAGTAAGCAGTTGCACGTGAGCACCTGAGCTCTAGCGTAGCTCTAGCTGAGCTCGTGCTGGTGTCCAGAGGGCTCAGAGTGCTTTCAGCATATTCTGAGCTTCTCATACTGTGTCAGAACATGGGTATTTTGCAAAAGCTTTGAACACAGAGTAGGAGATGGCACAGCTGATGCATTTCATCCCGTAAGGTTTGCTCATCACATTTGTGCTAGTACCTGAAGCTGACTTTCATAAAAATGACCCATGTTCCCAAGGCTGTTTTGCAAATCAAGGATGCTAGTTTTGCGAAAAGAAAGAGGCTTGATGAATTTGTTGTCACACATTATTGTAATTCTGATGGGAATATGTTCTTTTCCAAATACAAGGCACTCTTCAGAGTTAATATGTGAACTTGGACCTGTCTATTTCGGTTAAAATTGCAGATTGCTGAAATTCAGTGCTTCCATATCAGTAGCAAGTTTAGCTTTAGACAAAATTCAGACAAATACTGCAAGACTTAAGAAACTTGAAAATCCAGTTGGTTTGTAGATGTTGTAGGATTAGCTCTTCACTTTTTGTTTAAACTTTCTTATTTTTTATTTTTGCAGAAAGATTGCTTTCATTCCGTAATTTTAGTTAAAGGACAACTGTGAAGCAATTTTCCATATTTTTTTTTTTTATTTGCCGTTGGGCAAAAATTGCTCATGTTATTATGAGAAGCAGATGATTTTTAAGAATGCTGCATGTTAATACCCAGCAACTGAACTATTCATTTGATATCTGCAATGTTTGTTGAATCTTGTTCACTAGGCAATTAGAGTCACTTGTCCCCCAAAGTTTTAAAAAGAATAAAGCTGAAGTTCTCATTACATTAGGTTTATTTTTAAACAATGTTTTCCAGAACATACAGATCTAAATCACAAAACAGCAGCAGTGCAGCTTGTGTTGTACGCCATACTATGTAAGAAGCTTAAAGCACTGATATTGGTACAAAATGGTTGTATCCAAAACAAAGCAAACCTTGGCTTCAGATACTTAGAAGTAGCCCTAATTCTCCTTGCATATCAGAATATGACTGTTTTAATTCTAAATTATGAGTATTTGGTTGTTGGGTTTTTTTTTGTTATTGGTCCTCCTGCCCCTGCCTTCACTGACACCTGAGGTTTGAGGGAAGCAAACACACTGCGAGTGGAAACTACAGTTTACTGTAACAAGGTGCTTTATTGTTCAGTGAAATATTTTAACAAGTGCTTAACGCTAACACGAAGGTGCAAGGCATGGGATTAAATGGCAAGCTGCAGCCTTCTATTTAGAACTGAAATTAAGTATAATATAATATATGATGGTAATAATTATACCCAGGCAATGGCTATAGGTTTGCCAGTTGTACCCCTTGTCATGAGATCCCCAAATTGTATGAACATTGGTCCCCATATCCAGTGAGGGACCATGGTGGGTAGAGAAAAAGGAAACCTAATGACAGAAAGTTGAACTGCTTCATCCTCTTCTCTCATTGTCCACTGAACTGTTTTTTCGTGCTTTCTGCAATGGACTGGTTATTGCCCACAGCTTGAGGTCTACCCTCCTGTTCCTGGAGTGTGTCACTTTGAAGGAGTTGGTTGTTACTCTCAGACCACACCGGGTCCCATTATTTGGATCTGTATCAGTATCAGTCCTCCATCTTTTTCCTCTACCTCATAAGCCTGACACTAAGCCTCATGTTTTATATTTTAACTTCAGGGCCCTGTCTGAGAGATAGAAGTTCTCGTCCTAAAACAGCTTGTATGTTCATCACACCAGCTAGCTCCCCTGCTGTCTTTGCTGCTTCATACCACAGTCCTGGCATGTTGTCAGCTGGGTGGAGGAAATGTAACTGCTAGCGCTTGATTGTGCCATTATTTGAACTCAGCAGAGGAGGCTGAATTAGCAGTCCCCATCCTGGAGGAACAGCAAGTTAAAACTAAAGTGTCAGAAATCTGATCACAGCTTTTAAGTGGTTCAAGTTCATTCCCTTCTCACTTGCCCGCTCCCTGGATGTGTGCACACAAACACACAGATGCCCCATTACCTGCTGCGCTATTTGCAAATATCTATGCACGTTCCTGTTTCATAACAACCTCCTGTGCAACTGGGTGTCTGTTACCTTGTGTGTCCCTATAACCAGTGCTGACTTCAGCAAAATCAAGTGAGGTGCTCCCACTGGTCTTCCCCCTCCTCCATTGGCATCCTGTCTGTGTCCCACAGTTCGCCCCATGAACACACTTGGCTCAGCAGACCCCGTGTTTTAACATCAGCTGGTGAGACCCTCGCTGCATCTGCAGCTCGTCTGAGTGTAACCGGGAGCTGCTTACACTGCCCTGTCTCAGGAGTAACCCAGTTTGCAAACCACAGCATACACCAGCACTCTACTGGACTGCTCAAATGCTAAGCAGTCCATAGGAATGATCCAGAAACTGAAAACTGTGTAAACAAATAGCGATCGTTTGCTGGAAGATGTGATGCAGCACCTTGGTGGGCCGTGCCCTAGCCTGTACCCGCTCGTCTGCATCACTCACCGAGTAATGCCACGGGCACTGACCGAGCTGCAGATTCATCCTGTTGTTTACTGACTTGTTTCAAGTATGTTCAAGTCGGGATCTTGGTACTTCACCTTGGATTTTCATGCTTTTCCTTCACTTTCTTACGTTGTTGAACAGTCTTAAAATTGTGTCATGTTGCTGGTGGTAAAATTGTTCCGTGATTAACGTTCAAATACACACAGAGTGTTCTGAATTCTAGAGTGTCTCATTTTCCTGTTGTCACTTACTATCTCTGGAATCCTAAAATGTAAACATCCCTGTTCCAGTGTGTCTGTGTCCTCTCTTGCTGCCAGTAAGTGCTGCTACTGCTCATCAACGTGCTGTCAACTTGTATGATTTCAGTCATGCGTCTCAATATTTTAGGGGGGGCTTGGAAGTTTTTTGATTGCTTGACTAGTTGAACCTTTGGGGTTGATGATACAGTCTCTGACTCTTTTGTCAGTGTTATCATTGCTTTTCCGTGTTTCTAACTTCTCTGAAAGGCAGGCCAATAATTAAACTAGAACATCATTATACTCCTGTCTTAGGAGTTGCTCCAGAACTTGATAATTAACTGCAGGAGTGGATCATTTGCAGGGATGCAGAGCACATGTCAACCTTTGCTGAGCCAGTCACTAAGCTGGCGAAATATTATTTGCTGTTTGGTCAGTTGATTTTTTTTTTTTTTTGTTGAGTTAGCGAGCTGAATTTGGCTCAGCAAGAGACTGACAAGTAGCAGAGCTGGCAAACGAGGAGGTGCAGGGCCATATGGCCAAGAGCAGAGGGTTGGGAAGCAAGGGCAACCTTTGGTGACAGCAAGCCATTAATTTGGCTCAGCTGCGTTGTTAAGGCATGCTCTCAGTGAAGCTAAAAAAATACTTTGGATATCACATAAGCATGTCATTCATTAAGACTGTGCCATAAAAGCTTTAATTTCTGGTAGTCTTTTTGTTGTGGCTACCCAGAAAATATTGAGGTTAATCAAGATCGGGTATAGAATTCTTTCTAATTACAGAGTTGGTCTACAAATGCAGCCATCTTTCTGCATGGATTTTTTTTCTGTTTCAGAAGGAAGATGTCATTAATGCAGAAAGGGACGAAAGACTGTCTCTTCGGAAGCATCGCTTCATGCATTTTGCATCATTGGAATATGAAGGAGAATATTACATGACACCAAGAGATTTCTTGTTCTCAGTAATGTTTGATCAAGTTGAACGTAAGTTGTTTTCTCATCATTGTATTTGTGAAGGAAAAGAAACTTGCAAGTCCCCTTAACGATGTAATCTGCAAATCACTGGGATAAGATCCTTTATCTCGCATAAATCAGCAAAAGCCAATTTGTAAATGTTGTGTATACAGATTCTCAGAGGCACCACCACCCTTTACACCAGTGAAGTGAGGCTGATGATGTAGAAATCTGGTGACTTGATGACATTACTTCTCTGCATAATTTGCATGTCTGATCAGTATGTAGTTCCTCAATTACTTACGTGCCACAGAAAATACTAGGACTGTAATATAATAGTGTTCATACCATTCTGGCCCTGCTATCTGTCTATCCACTTCACCAGTAAGTGCTCTGTGACCTTTTTTCTTAGAAGAGGCAGTGGTGGGAGTGACTTGAATGAGTGTAATGAAGCATTGAGCTCAGCTTTAGGTTTCTGGTTTCAAATCTCCTCTGGTTTATATAAAACCTAGCTAAGAACAAATAAAAATTGTATGAATGTTTTTAACAAAGTAGTATTAAAAGTGTGCTTTCTGAGGAGAAGATAGGACCAGAACACAAATAAAAAGTGCGTAGGTTGTTGTCCTTTCCTCCTGGTTTTCTGGCCTCATTAACTCTGCCCTGTTCCTTAAGCTTTTTGTATCTGTCTTTGTATCATTCTGTAATTTCCACGTCACAGGAATTGTTTTTTAAATGATTTGTTTTTTCTCCAAAAATTTGGCTTTTACAGCTTTCTCAATGATTTTTTGCTTTAGAAAGGTTAGGTTCTCCAAATTTCAGAGAGGATTACCACTCAGAGGACAAATACTCTGTTAGTACATCTGCTGAGGGCAAGAGGGGGAAAATCCCAACTTTAATTAGTGTTTGCTGCAGTCTGCACATGCTGACAAGGGCCGCACATTGTCTAGCAAAAACCATTTGTAGCCTGGGATGCTCTGCCCAGCTAGCAGCAAATGTCAGAGTGACTTGAGTATCAAGCAGGAATACAGAAGGGAATTAATTCTTTGGTATCAAGCTTTGGTATCAAGCAGGAAATAGAGAAGGGAATTCAAGGTAATGTGGAGGGGCTTGAGTGTCGGAAGGAAGAGGGAGACCTGAATGTACTGTGATTTGAGCCTGCCAAGGGAAACCTTGGGCAGAACTGAGTTTACTGACCTGCAGGTGGTCAAAGAACAGGACACGAGAATCTGTAATAAAAGAAGTTTTCTTGTGTCTGCCAAAAATCTATAGGTGATAAGGATACACGGCTTCGCTGCTGACACACAACTACTAATATTATTCAAAGCTGAATATAAATCCTTAGAAGGACTTTATGACCTTGAGAGTCATGGAGACTCTCAAAATAACTTTTTTTTTTTAAAATATATGGCTAATGGAAAGAGTTCTTTCCCCTTCAAAACTCAGGTCATTAAGTTAAAAACCCAGGAGGGATTTTCTCTTGAATTTTCCAGCCTGAAACGTTGGAAGACAATGCATACTGGAATTTTCAGTTTTGAAGGTGAGGGTTTCAGGCAGTTGTCTGTGAAAGCATGGTTAGAGAAATAAGTGTTTTTCAATCTTAGCAGTTCATACATATTAATTGGTTACTCCAACTATAATAGTACACATGCAGATTTTTAATGAAGTGGTATGCGGGTAAGATTTATTTGTAATGCAGCCAAGTTAATTTCAGTTACTTTGCTAATATGAGTAAGAAACCAGGGTTAAATAGAAAAGAAAAAATAACGACAAGAAAAAACACGTGAACAAAAAAAAATCTTTGCACTAATGCATATTTAGCATTTCAAATTGAAGTCAGGCTTACAACAATAGCATCATAGGCAATTCATAGAAAAATGTTAATACTCGAATCTAATGCTTCTAAACATTTTTTTTAACCGTCATTGGTGCAGGTTCTTTGGCCAGTAGCATAAACACAATGGTAAGCAATTCTCTTCAAGTCGTACTGCTTGGGATTTTAGATTTTCTTGTAACTGCAAACAGACATACCATTTGTTAGCAGAGAAATACGGTGTTTTAAGTATTTTCAAGGCAGTGGTTTGTTCATTGTATTTAGAAGAGTTTCATATGAGGAAAATAAACAGACCTATCTCAAGTGTCTGTCCAGGTATACTCAGAGTAGATCAAGATGGTGAACTTCATAACAAAGTGGCAATTATTTTTGGAAACTTTCTGCTTATATGATAAAACTAATTCCCTTTTGCCCTGAACAGTGGTTTTATAAAAATGGCATACTGCAGTTTTAACATGTGATACTGCATACAAATGGTGAGTCTTACAATGCTGAAGTTAAAGCTGTAATGGTTTGGTTATTCCTATATACCTATTTTTGATTAATCACTAACGGAAAAAAAAACCCTCTCAGAAGAATTTGAAGCACCCTGGCAGTAACCATTCATCTTCGTAAATATTTGCTTGGAGTTTGCCAATTGGTTGCTATATATAGTAATATGGAAGACTTAGGGCTGTTTTAAAGTTTTGTTTCTGCTGTCTTTTTCACAGGTAATAGGCAGGAACGTGTGACCAGCCTCATGAGCAATTTAACTGTGTGCACCAAGAAATATTGCTGAGGTTGATCTCTGTTGCTTTGTTCCTATCCAGAGATAAACACTCCCAAAGGGGAAAAAGGCAAGCGACAAGAGGGGATGAGAAGCAGTTATGGGTTGGGAATAGGGGTCCTTGTCCAACAGCCTTGGGGTTTTTGCTCACTGGTGATTGTCATTGGAGAATTACTTTGAAATCTCCTGTTAGTTTTTAAGCATAATTAAATTTAGAAGAAAGTAAATGTGGTGTAAACCAAATGAGTTGTTGGTGCTAGATCAAAAGCGCTAACATTAGAAAATACCAAAATATTTTAGCTATGTCCAGATTGTCAAGTGAATTCCTGTACACAGTTGGGTGGAATTTATTACTGAAGCAAAAATCTTAGGTGTGCCCTTTGACAAGGTTGCAAAACATGCAATAAATTAAAATTTATTATAGAACACTTTCCCAGATAAGAAAACAGATGAACTGTAGTGCAAATATATCAACTGTCATCCAACCCAAGTGATCTTGAACCCTGCTTGATAGACCTTAGTTCACTAGTTCTGCTCATTTGTTTCCTGGTGCATGGGTTTTTCTGTTACTCATTTTCTTTAAGGTAGGCCAAAAATTGTGAAATCTTGGCATTCCCGTTGATTAAATCACACCTGCAAAGTTATTTACTGTCAGGTTGATAATGAAGAAAAATATTTACAGTCCTGCCATCTAAGGAGAATGAGTTGATAACAAATGCAGAGTTTCCTGACAGGCTTATTTTGTTTTGCGTATTGACAAAGCAAAGAGCTCTGTAAAGGAAGAAAGGCACCGTCCAAAAAAAATTTGCTTGCTTTTAAATGCAGTGTTTCACACTAGATTACCTTTGTAAATATTTGCCTAATTCTATTACTGTTAGTTGTTTTATGGACGGAAGCAGCCACCTCTTTATGAACAGTAGCAAACAGTAAATGAGATGTGGTAGTGTGGCACAGGATTTGTGTCAGTACAAAAGACCCATGACAGTGTTTTGTACCAGTTAATGCAGTGCATACTAAATGCACTGTTGGGATTTTTGGATTCATGGCTATATGCCGTGTAATCTCGTGTTAAAACAATGCTACCACAGGGATGTGTGGCAGCCTTCCAAAACCTGCCAAGTTCTTTTGGGCAATCAGTGGGATGTTCTTGTAAACTGTCATATCTGATGCAATGATAGTTTAGTGAAAAAGTGTTTTCTATTAAACTTCTCAGTGTCTAGTAAAGTCTAATAAGAATAATATGAACTTGCTGTGTTGCATGCAGAAATTCTAACGTTTTTAAGATAACAGGTATAAGAAGGACAAAGCTCAGCTGTCTTATGCTGAATTTTCATTGCAATGCAGGAATATTTTTAAAAGACCCTTCCAGCTTCATGTAAAACTTGTGCTTTAATCAGTTGTGCATACTTAGGCTCATATTCCAGATTATACAGACAATATTGCGTTAGAGCTTCTCCATGGAAATATCATCTCTGGTGTGCTGTTGTTGTAGAACATATAAGAAAATCTGTATTAAATTTTGAAAGGACTACAGATACAGGAATCTTTCAGAAAATTAAGATTTTGCATTCCATTAAATCTGGGCTGTGTTCATGTTTATTTTTCTGGAGAAGGTTATTCCATTCCAGAAATACCTTCCTCTTTCAACTAGAAGACAAACATTCAGGTTAGCTTGTCTGATAACAGTTGATACCTGGTAAATAAAGATCTTGATCCTTCTGTATGTACTCAGTCCAGATATAATGTATCGTAGCATTTAATGTATCGTAGCATCGTCATGTCCCGAACCACTCCTTTATCTGCGGTACAACAGATTTTCCTGTGTTCTATAGCCCCACGGTGCCAGAGGCAGTATTTCCATTGTAGTGTCTTACGTGTCGGTGAGTATTAGTGCATTTTAAGTTTGCTGGGAGAAGTTATTTGACTTAGTTAAGTTTTCTGTGAAAACGTGGCTGGCACAAGGTTGTGGTATATTTGTGGGCTTGGTAAGATACATGGCTTCATGTTACCTGCCTCAGCATCAGTGTGGTCATCAATGTGAATGAATCTGAGGAAAGGATACAGTGCAAGGCTGCAATGGCTGGAAAATTGAGTTCTCCATTGTCCTTAACGGACATCAATGCTGGTATGGTTGGTGGGGTTTGGAGAGCCAAGAGGGAGCAGCCAGTAGATGGGCACTTCAGAACAAGCTGAGTCAGTCTTTTTGTTTCTGGATCTTGAGGTTTTGCCTTTTTTTAACACTGAGATGTTGTTGTGCTCAAATCCTCCAAACACAGTAAAGAACTCTGCAAGCTGGGATACGCAGGACAGAGATGACCCCTTGCCCAGTGCTAGGTGGAAGGTAAAGTGAAGCAGGGGGAAAGAAGTAGCATGATGGTTTAAGGTCATTATATGAGTCTCTTCTGAGTTTTAGAAAAATGAAACAAACTCAGC